AGGCTAATTAGCGAGCGAGAAGGTTTTGCCAACGTTTACGGGATGCCACGCTCTGCCAATTTTTTTTTTTGGCACAGCCCGCAGAAGTGACGATCTTGACAACTTTTCCGCCTCTGAAAAGCATCGACCCACAGCGAATTTATATAATAAAATACTTAAATTAAAAACCTCTGAGGCAGCGTTCACTTGTCGGCGGAAATTCACTGTTCAAGTGTCGATTACTAAATTGAAATTTGCTGACAAAAAAAAACACTACGCTTGGGAAAACTGAAAATTTGCTCTGCGCGATGACTCCATTCTTGGCAATGAACCGAATGATTTTCGTCACGAAGCCAACTGTGAAGCCAACTGTGAAGCCAACTGTGGCGACGTAACCTCACCAGGGCAAATAAAAATTAATTGAATACGACTAATAAAATTCCTCTTAATTAAAATCAAGAGGAACGGGAGATCCACAACGCCAGGACCACTAAAGACGGAATGGGTCCAGCTTTTGACGATATCGAATATCGAAAACGTGAAATATCGAATATCGAAATGATCGACGCTCCAAATATCGATACGACGGGAAAATTCGGTTGATATAAAACCTTTCTTGTGCATAACGTAAATAGCATCGAAATTGAAACATGCTCTTGACCACGAAATTCCCAAATGACCTTCACTGACCTCGCTCTCCTGAAGTCATACATGAGCCGAATGAATGACCAGCCAATGAATGACAAGCCAATGAATGACCAGCCAATGAATGACAAGCCCAAGGGTGCAAGAGACAACTGAGAAAACCGGAGAAGAGAATGAAACCCGATTTTCTTCGCCCTTAAAAGTCTGCGGCAGATTCAGATTGGTGTTTGTCCATGGTCCCCTTACTTATTTTTACCATCCTTTAACGTAATTCCTACAGCAATGAACTCCACAGGGCCTCATAGTCCCGAATTCTAATGAATCGCGAAGTTCAAAGAGTTTGCATGAGCTGGGCTCACACATACTTCTTGGGCGAATCGTTCCACATAGAATAAGAAGTAAGGATAAGGCGAATAAATTTTAATTTTAATTTTAAAAGTTCATGCAGTTTTCACAGGATCAAAGTTCATCGAGGAGAATGAAGCTCTTTTCCTCTGGATTAATTTCGATGGTTGTACATCCTGAGTTATTCCCCTCGGCCTCATGGGTGGATTAAATCAATAAACTTTTCGTTCAGCGCTTCCAAACACTTAGCATTAGTTGATTGTACATAGAGGTTTCAAAGCCTACACATCCTGGGCATTTTCAGAAAACTTTGAAGCCTGAATTCCACATCTGGATTTTTCACAAACGAAGCTAAGAATTTCATCTGACAAACTGCTGATTATAAATCATATCATTGCTTTCTCACATGGATTATGAGGTACTTATTTTATCTGGGGTGTCCAATCCAAAAGATACCATGAATGCCGTGGGGCTGGACTCTCGATCGTCTCGCAAAGTCATTTCAGTGCAAGTGAACCTGCATAGGAAAGTACGTGGGAATTCGAGCAGATAAAATTTTTTTATTGTTCCACGGTCCCAGAGGTAGGTTCTGACAATCGGTGGTGACTTGCCGTCAAGTCCCGAGAGAATCGACAAGGCTGTACTAGAATCCTCTTGCCTGTAGCAATCACTGTCATTGCAGCCAAGATGATCCAAAGGATGTGACTGGCTGGAGCATGGCTCAACTCATGGCAAAACGAGGAAGACGGGTCGGGAAGAGCGACCGTCGCGAACCTGCGGTGCCTCGCTCCCCCATCGAACCCGTGGATGCTTCGGACCGCCGTTCACGATCCCTTTTCCTGGAAGTAGGCCGAGATGATCGGCGGGGAGTTGGTCTTGTGGCCCGGGTTGCGCTTCGAGGAGTAGTTTCTCCGGGGTATGGCGCTCTTGTTGCTCAAGCCCACAGAGGGGATCTCCAGGACCGGGGTGGGAGCTCTCATCAGTCCAGACACGAGAATGGGGTTCTCCATGACAGGCTGGAGGTAGCTGCTGGGGATCGGCTGCTCGCTGCTCCAGGGAAAATAAATTCTTCTTTCATGAGAAAGCCTTCGTGTATCCTGTTCACAGCTCATTCTTGGAGTTCAAACATAAACAGATGGCATTAGAATGAGGGTCATCAAGATCCTCAAATTGTAAGGCATGCTGAAATTGTGAATTCAATGGAGAGATTTACTGCACCCCCTAGTCCTCAGAACCCTTGTCAAAAAATAATGCTGGATCAATCAAAAGCCCAACAGATAAAATTTTAAATAGCTTAAAATGATCTCTTTTTTGTTGTTACAAAATGTTGAAAAAAAAAAGGCAATGCACATATTAAATAAATTTTTTTTTTTTCAGAGAAAAGTCTGCTCATCCAAAGGCAGCAATCTTTGAAACAGGGAAGCATGTATCACTCAGGAACTCATTAATTTAAGGTGTACGTAAGCATTTACTCCTTCAGAGGTTTAGGATCGCCTCCTTGTCTGTATAACATCAAAGATAGTGGACTTGTCAACAGCCATTATTTAGGCCAGTGGTTCCAAAACTGAAGCACATGAAGCAATGCCAGGTGGTATGCAAGAGGTTTTGAAACTGACTTTTTTTTTCAACTTGCACAATAGAGTACTAGTCTTGCATACTTTGTGGGATATGCATAAGTGGGACAAGTGGTGGTACAATATATTTGCACTCTGGAAGCAAGTAGCACACAGATTGAAAGTTTGGGAATAGCTGATTTAGACAGCAATGGGGAATTTAAAAGTTACAGCCAGTGAAAAGTAACAAGATATATGAATACTTACTATTCCAGTTAAAGTTACCATTTACCTCTGAATAACTTTCCAATTCCCTTTTCATATGCATTCAGTAATCCTCTACCAACTCCTTCAAACTCACACAGCAAATGAACTTTCTCCTAGATTCCAGAGATTCTATGATTCTAAGACAGATGACATGGTCCAAACTGGAGCAGAGAAAGCAGTTATTTACTTCAAAAAAGGTAGCTCTATTATTATTGTCTCAAATAAACCAAAGGTCTATTGGAGGCAATTACACTGTAATTACCTTACTAGGAGAAAACAAAAATGATAGCAATTACATTACTTTCATTCAATAGGCCTGAAACAATCATTACATTTTGGCAAGTAGCTCATTCAGTTCCTTATTTCAAGAGAAAATAAGAAATTACAGTAAAAATACTTGCAATGCATTACTTTCCATCAATGCTAGTAGGCTGTTCTCACACACCTTTCTCCCCCAGTACCAAAATAGCCATTACTTTCCTTTACAGAAGGGATACGTTCCCCTCTTAGTTCTTTCTGGGAGATATTCTCTTACTTAATATGGATGGCAAATTTCAATCATTATTGGTCTGAAAACAGAGTTTGGAACAGGACCGAAGGGATGTCACTCATACTCCTAGCTCACTTACTTTTCTTTATCTTTGGGATTAAATCCACTTGGTATGTCCCTGATGGCACTCGGCATCTGCAAACACAAGTACGAGCCAAGGATGGACGGATGCTCATTCAAGATACAATGACAATTCAACTGCAAAATGACTTGTTAAGGCAGATATGCTTAGGCTAACTGAAATGGGAATGCATCATAGGAAAGGCATCATAAGTAACAGAAGAGCAGAACAGACATAGGTCAAGATGAGTCTAATGATTGACAGTGAGGATGCAATGATCTTCACCTCATTCATTTAGCACACTGGAGGCAGAACACATTCATCCGCAACTTATACATGACTCTCGGCAACCTAATCTCTAACAGGAAAATCCATGACAATATAAGGATGTGGCATGATTCTCTATAAACCTCCCCAAAACCTCACCTGTGCAGGCGCAGCAACGCCGAGAGGAGGAAGCCGCGACGACGGCAAGGACGGGGTCGAGGAGACCAGTGAGGGACCCGAATGATCCCTCCCTCCCCCTATCTGCATCCCTGCTGTCACTTGCTTGTTCAGCCAGTTTATCACTGTAAAAGAGAGTAAGAACCTTTAGTCACCTGCATTAAGAACAGTGAATGAGATATATATCACCTACATGTATCACATTTCAAGAATGTACCTAAACATGGGGATGTTACAGTTACTACAATGGCCATATCAGGAGGCCTACAATAAATAATCTACCTACATTGCACAAAACATCTGTATCAATTTTGAAGAGGTAACATGGCCTGTAAGAGAGTCAGGAAAAATATAATTACTCACTATTAACTCAAACTTATAATAATTTTTTATGCCTATAGTGATCATGCAATCAACAACAAAATTCTATGGATGTACAAAGAAATGATTGGCATGGGTAGACACTGTGTCAGCTTCTGGCACCACGTCACAGGCGCTGGTATTCTGTCTGATCAATGAACATTTTCCTCACGTGTCACATACTGAACAAAGAGACATCCTACATTGATTTTAAACGCAAAAACAAGTGAAGAATGTAGTATCACATTTCTTAACATCAGGAGCACTCATACCATTTTCATTGGTCTTGATGATCTTCTCGGAATCCCTGATTCGCTGCTCCAATTCCTGGTTCCGCTCTTCCAGCTTCTGCTTCTCGTCTTCTGCTCTTCTCAGCTCTCTGCATCTCGCCTCCACCTCCTCCTTCAAACTCTTCAGCTCGGCCTCTTTCTCGCCGATGACTTTCTCTTGCTCTGTAGCCACCTGAGTCCTCAGCTTGAGCTGTGAAAAAGGTCATAATGAAACAAGATGATAGGCAAACAATGGCAGGATGCTGATCTACCATGCTTGAGCTGCAACTAAATGGGATAAACTAATCTAATTTGATGTGCTATGAACGGTTATCAATAAAACAGGGATTGAATCTGATCTTATCTATGAAAGATTTCTGATTCAGAGATCAAAGGTCAAAGTTGACAAGGCATGCGTCAAAACAGGATTGGAATGGATCCAAAAGAAGCAAGTCCTCGAGGCACACCTTGTTGAGCTGGGCATGTAATTCATCTTGTAACTTCTTGATGATCTGGTTGGCCTTGAACAGCTCCTGAGACATGCCTCGAATGGATTCTTCCCTACGAACCAGCGTCGCACCCAGGGCCTCCAACTGAGTCTCCAGCCGGGACTAAAATGAAAGAAAAAAAAATTTCAGTTTGAATCTATGGAAACTTCCTCTCCATAAAAAAAAAACCTCTAAGGAACTTATGCACAATAACTTAGTCCTATTATGAGCATTAAGCATCAAACACTCAGACATGCAAGAATCTGTCAAAAAGAGTGATGTGCATGCCCTGCAAACTTCTTTGCACTCTGAAGGCCATACAAATGAAATGATCAGCCAACTTAATTGTAGTCTTTATGCAACATGAACCCTCAACTTAACACAACTCTGCCAAGTATTCCAAACTCAAATAGTCCCTTACAGGCATGCCTACTCTTCCTTCTTCCAATTTTCTTTCCTTTGCATCATACCTATATGAAGACAGTAACTGTAATGTTTAAATTCTGCAAAAATTGCTGGCACTCAAGAATCTCTACATACTAAGCAATGCTATCTTTGGGAGGCCAATGAGTAGAGATCTCCAGACTATGGAAGCTCCCAGTACAAGGGTAGGTTTACACACAGTAATTTGCATGGAAGTTACAAAGATTAGTTCACTCCTGCAAAGGACTATTGCCTGTGAGAGTACTTCCATGAAATAGGTGCCTACCCAATTCCTTGGGAGTATTTGCATACGATACAGTAGTGCATAGGGTTCACAGTAGTAACTTATAGTAGCAACTTTCAACTGTATTACACTGCATAAAACCACCCTAATAATTTTTAAAAAAGTGTGCAAAGAAATCTTACAGACTTTGGATGCTCAAAGGTTATGGACTACAAATTTCTACCAAGCAGGTCTTGTCTCTGACAACCAGAGCAGAGGAAAAGCCTGAATGATCAGATCTCTCCTCATAGGTCAGAAAGACCTGAAAAGGGTCTGACCTCAATATGAGGTCATATCTCAAAAAGGATTTATGCCTTCACGCCAAGTAGAAGGTGTAATGAGAGTAACTCTACAAGCTGACACTGGAGATGAAGGGCAGCAGAAAGTGCAATGGACTTGCCACAGCTTAAAAAAAAATTTCCTGCAGAATTGATGGAAGGGATTCAAGAAACACAAGATCACTTTCTATTACAGTCTGCAGGCAGGAATTTCAATTTTGGACCTCCTACGGCCACTCGGCGATACCTTCTGTTCCTGTGCCGAGGAGAGAAGCTCCAACTGCCTCTTGCCAACCAGGTCCCTGTCTCTGGCCTCCTGCTCCGAGACGGCCAGCCGGGTTCGCAGCTGCGCCAGCTCCTTCTCCCTGGTGGCGGCATCGGAATCCCGGGACCCCAACTGCTGTCGCGTCGAGTTCAGTTCCTGACGGAGGCGACTGGCGTCCAGTTCCAAACTGGAGCACTTTCCTCGCAGCTCCCTGATCGAAATGATGACGGAATCAGTCCCATCCTTACGGTCAACAATTACAAGAATTCCTTCGGGGTCAATCCATCATTCTTGACACCTTTAATTCATTTACACAGCTGATTCACAGCCCATGGGAAGCCTTTACAAGGTAGCAAGACAGGAGCTTTAAGAGCCAATTCATGCACTTGTACCAAGCTCACCAGCAATGAGGGCACTCACCCTACACTGGGGTGAATATCACACAATTGCCTTATCATCCAGCATGAGGCCATGATTCATATCATAACTGCTCAACAAAAACTTCTCTGGTTTCCCCCATCCCCAACCTTTAGACACGCACAAGGGAAAACTTTTCTAGAAGATGCAAATACAGGGCATTTAAGGAATGTTTGTTGCTTGATTTTGTAATGAGGAAAATTTCTCCAAAGATGTAAAAGGAAGACAAGAGAACCTGAGAAAACCAAAACAGGTCTTGAGAAGCCTAAACTCTCAACAAGAACTTCCTCCACTAGGAAGAAATACTGCAAATGCACACAATGAAGAAATAACAGGAATAAATATTTAAAAAAAAAAAAAGCGAATCTAGTCATTCCCATACAACTGCAAACAAAATCATGTAAGATGCCATAACATCTTACCTCACATGAGCTTCAGCCTGGACCTTCTTCTCCTGCAGATCCCGATTATGCGCATCGAGCCCCGTGATCCGAGCCTCCAACTGCTGAGAAGTTCTTGCATGCTTCTGCTCGAGATCTTTCAACTGCGTCTCGTACTTGGCTATGCATGTGCTCTGAGTCTGCAAAGGAGCATGCAAGGCACATCTCACCAAGAGGGAAACGCAAAGAGAAACCGGATCAATCTTTTTTGATGAACGGTGAATGGTGGATGAACTGATGAAATTTCCTCAACTCAACAGGACTTATAAATGCCAACCCATCTCATGCAAAATAATTTTAAAATTCAGTATTAAAGAGGGGAAAGAATTAAATATCCTGCCCAACTCTGCATACTATTGGATGAAACCAAAATCGGGAAGACGTCCAAACAGCCAATGAGAAAGGGCATCAAAACACCGATAAAACAATCTGCACACCCCAAATCGCGATCATTCCGAACCTGCGACGCCTTGTCTCGCTCCGCGTAGAGATCCTTCTCCAGCCGCGACGTGAACATGGCCGTCGTCTCCTTGAGCTCCCGCCTCGCGCTGTCGACCTCCTGCGTCCGCCGGTCCAGCTCGATCTGCAGGCCCTCCAGCTGCTTCGCCAGGCTGTCCTCGGTCCCCCTCAGCCTCAGCTGGAGCTGCTCCTTCTCGGTCTGGAGGGATTAAGGATTAAGATTAAGACTTGGATCAAGGCGCCAGCTCTGGCAGCTCGTGTGAAACGATGATCTTGTTGGCATCCGATCACGGTAAGGTAAATTTAGACTTTTGGATTTTCTTTCGGGCAAGGTCCCCCATCGCCCATTAGCCAATTCATTCTTAACTTTAATATTACTCCTGTTTTGGTAAAATGGTCAGATTCTCAAGCCTCGGTTTTTATGACACTTAGAGCAACCTCTACATTTCCAAGGAAATTATCAAAAACTCTCTAAATTTTCTATTTTCATTCCAACAAAACGAAAATCTTAAAATCTGCAGCCCCAAAGGGCCAAAATCACTTCTACTCACATTGCGGGGCAACCAGCGAGAATACCAAAAGAGTTCCAAATTTACAAGACCTTGAGCCTGAGCAGGGTCGCAGCCAGGAAGTTCTTCACTTGGGAATCCGTCCCCTGGTTGAGCTTCAGCGCCAGGTGACACAGGTGCTTGAAGGGATTGGACTCGACCACCTCCAGCAGATACTGCCTCGCCGGCCCTTGACCGCCCCTCTCCACGTTACTCAAGTGAAGCAAAAATCTGTCACACGCGTGGAACAAAAAAAAAAAAAAAAAGCACGTGAGAAATTAGACAGTGGAAAGACGAACGTCAGTGCTACAGTTCCAGAATCATAATACCAGGAAGTAGAATTTAAATACGATGAGAGTCGCCTATCAATAAAGAAATTCAATCGATTGTAAGCCATTCCATCGATTAATCGGACAATATTAAATCCCCTTGTCTCCTCCCTGAACGTGGCAAATGTTCATACATCACGAGTTCATTCTGTCCGGCTAAATGAGCCCCATTACCGGTGCGGAATCGGGTCGACTCGAGCGGATCTCCGCCTTTGGACATGGTCTCCGCTTTTCCCAGGCATCCAGACACCGTTTAGGGTGATTAAAAAAAAAAAAAAAAAAGAAACAAGAATTAAAGAGAGACACACTTGTGCGCACTCGAGTGGAGCAGGGAAATGTCCTTGATTCTCGTATCACTTTCTACCCATTATCTTCTTTCTTTCCTGTCGTCTCTCGAGGGCACACCCCGATCACTCGCGATTTACCCTCGAACTGCAAATTAAGACATTTCTCCCCCAACCTGTCGGTTCCACCAAGCACGAAGGTCGACAAATCCATCGCCTTCGATCATTTCCTCTAGATTTCACGGTCGAATAGCGAAAAAAAAAAAAAAAAAGTCTCGTCCATTAGGGCGTCCGCGCACGAACGCGTATCGGGGGAGCAATTTTCTCCCGCTAGATATATCTCTCACCGCTCCGTAAAGAACGCCCAAAAGCGGAGCGGGAATTTTCTCATACAAACGGATCCCATCCGCATCAATCTATGGGATCGACCCGCCCCGGATCCTGCAACGACCCCGACACCGTAACGTCCTCGTCCGAGTAGCCTGCCGCCACAACTGACAACCTCAAGGCGGTTCGAATGCCCCACGAGCGGCGCCTCTCGCCCGCTCGCAGAGATCAGTCGTGGAACGAAGCGCTCTGAAGGGAGGAATCCCCAACCAACCTCACATAATAACTTTCTCACCCATCTCTTTTTTTTTTTGGCACTGGAGAAAATTGCATTCTCCTACTTCCCTTATTTTTTTGTTGGCAGTTTGCATTTTTATTTGCCATTCGTAAAATTCCAGATTTTTAGGTTTGACAAAACTCTGCAATATGCAATGAAATTGAAAGATAAAACCAAACACTCGAAGACGGATCTGAGGGTCAATTAAAATTAGCAACCCTGCAATAAAATCGCAAAAAAACTGCAATAAATCTATAATTACACAATATATGAAACAGTTCAGGGACAAACAATGCTGGGTCTGATCATCACAAATCACTATTTTTGAAGTGGGGTGAGGGGAATCGACTCACCTCGGGTGCTCATTCTCGCCATCTCTGGAACAGAGGTCCAGAAGGTCCAGAAACCTCTGCGGAAAGGTCTGGAAATCGACCAGGAGACCCTGCTGCGACTTGAGCGCCTGGAAATCGTCTTCCTGGATCTTGAGGTTCAAGAAGAGGCAAGGCTCCTCGTCGGCTGTGATCAGGACCTCCAGCTCCTGGGAAGCGGGCAAAGGAATGAAAAAGATCGTGTGTTAAGTCCTTTGAGAGGGATTTGATTGTCACTCTGTTCCTCCAATAGGCTTAAGCCAACTTAGATGTACATTTTTAACAAAAATACTATGAGGATAAAAGGCAATTGGTTAAAATATTTTTAAAATATGTGGGATATGACAGAAAAATACTTTACAAAACATTTTCCGCTCACCTTGCTGTTCACAGCCGAGAGGCGAGTCGTCACAAGAAACCTCCTGGAAACTTTCGTCCCGCACCCATCGATCGTTCTGTCGTGCACCGAGAGAACCTTATCGTACAGAATGGTAGCATCGAGCCTCTCCCCTCGAACCGTAACCCTGTCGCTACCGATGTCCATCTGCAGAACAAAACGTTAGCTGCAATCTGCTCCATCGCCCAGTTGGCAAAGACCTAACCTAAGACCTAATAAACAGGACTCTTGGTGAATTAGTTGTCCATTGAGAGAAGGTGCTTCTGGAATTTAAGGAAAAACTTACTTGGGCAAAACTGCAACTAAAGAAAAATACAACAGGCTTACTATGCATGTCTGAACTCTCGGAGGCTTCACTTCCTGGCTGATTAATCCTGAGCACATACCATTAACTAAACTTATATATGATTTCACAAGACCACACAAGGGTCTTGTGAAAGAGACTTTTGCCTTTTCATCCTGCTGAGCCCACTAGTTAACACATGCTGAATTCTTAAGTACAGTCCATTTGCCTTGTTTCATTTTCACTGCATTTGTCTTTCCAGCAGATGCATGCATGTGATCATCAATATACTGGGCAGGCAACTCTAATATCCCAGCCAGTTCCCATGCTGGGCACAACTCCTATAGAGCCTTTTCTCTATAATAAACCCAACTGTTCTTCCTAACTGCACAAATCTTAGTTGAATATACTGGCAACACCCTACCCATTAAAATGGAGTGTGGGGAGCCAGGATTGAATTGGCAATACTTGGTATCAACATCCAAGTCACAAGCCACAACACTACCAGTCCCCTGTTGAGGGAGGAGCAGGCAGTAAGGGTAAGGATAGACACCACAATATCTTGTGGTTTACTGGGTATTGACCAAACTGAAAACAATCTAGATTATGAAGAAAAAGTTTTCATGCATGCTGGAAATGTTTTTTCATTTAAGAGATTTGTTTCTCTGACTTAATTTCACCCTACTACCACCACCTCACGCTTACATTACATTCCTTAAATGAAAACCTGTATGTAGGCTCAGCTGAAAAATACAAAAGTTCCACTAAGGCCTAGGCCTACATTGTTCAATAAGTTCCATAAATAGTGGATTATTCTGGGAGTGATGCTCGATGCTCCTCTTAGGCCTGCCTTCAAACGGATTCCAATCGATCAAGACACACTAACTTGCCTAGGTCTACAATATCCTGAGCTTGCGGTTGGCCCAGGTTGGCCAGGGCCTACATCCAAGCTAGCCAGCATGAGAGCATGGCCCTTCACTGTTTAAAAACTATTTCTCATGCCTACTAAAACCCTCTAACTAGGGAAGTAACCAGGAGCAGGGCCTAATTCAAGTAGGCCTAGAATACCATAGGCGTAGCGAATCACCGAGTCCTTTTACCGATTCACTTCGCATTTTCTCAGCACTTAACGCGAATCAAACTGGAAATGTTCACTCGAGAGTTCGAACCCGGAGCGAATCCGAATCCAGCGTCACCGACGAAGCCGCGTCGACTTCCCGCGCGTAACTGCCTGCTTGCATCGCGACCGCTAGATGTCTCTGCCATGGCCGTTTGGTCCCGGCGTTCCCTGGCCTCCCCGTCAGTCGTCGCTCGGCGCCTCCAGCGGATGGGCTCGAGCGCTCGTGTCCTGCCAGCGTGGGAGTGGATCGCCTTTTCGCAATAGTAAATACGGAGAAGGTCAATAGGTATGAAGGCGATGGGTCACGCCTGGGCTGTCGTGCTGATTTGCAAGTGAATGCGTACCACCTTTTAAGTTGGGCAATGTTACCTAATGGAGCCCATGTTGAAGGTGAGACGAATCCATTTAAAATCACCGTGAGCGATGCAATGGCCGACAAAAAAATTTATCGGAATGGCCATTCCAGCCCTGAATCTGCTCTCCTCCTTTCCGACTCGACCAGAAGGGGCCACCAGGGTGCTCCAGGGCGTCCAGGGTGCTCCAGGGTGATGAAGGGTTAGGATGTACCCAAGTAGGGGTGTGCAGGGAATCCGAAACTCATATTAAATAATTTTCCCTCTCATCCTGAAAATTTATTTGGCTCAGAAAAGATTCAGAAAATGAAACCAGGTACAATTGAGAAACGTATTTTCTCGAAATAAATAAATAAAATAAAAACCTTGCTCGTGGGGTATTTTGCTGCGTGCTCAATTTTTCAGCCAAACCCAAACGCATTTGACATGGATTCCTCTGGCATTTTCACTCTGAGGTAAAAGTTGGGGGTGGCAATCATCGTTGCTTCATCCGGTCACGTTCCTGGCGCGCCTGGTGAACATTCGCCCGGCGCGGGGGCACATGCCTAAGGCCGGTCCCGCTCCGGAGGCACGGAGCGCCGAATCACAGGAAGCACCTGGCCGTTGCTCCATCCTGTCCCGTTGCGAAAGACGCATCTTCTCGGGCGTTTCGCTTCTTCTTCCCCGCACCTTTTCGCATCATCTCACCATTTCTGCCATTTTTGCCTTGGCGGACCTTGCGATCGCGGTACACAGTTGTGCATACCTAGAATGGTCCCTCAGAGCTTCGTAATCGGGTTCGTCCCATATGGTTTCTGCATGACTTTCTAGCATTACGCATTTTACCTTTAGCGAACGACCCGTAAAAACCATAAGGGTCTACACTGGCCCTTCACGAGAGAGGAACAGGCCCCTTTCCCAGGCCCCTTCCACCCGACTGGAACTGGAGGATTCCAACTGGAATTTTCCGTTCGTGCCCTTTTATGTTGCAGAGACGGTCTCTGTTTTGGACGTTTGAACCTCTCCGGGGTGGATTTCTCCCACGCATGAAACAAATAATAAAAATAAAATCTCGTTCAAACTCCAAAGACGTATGAAAATAATCGTTCATCTATCGAAGAGCTCCGATTCGAGCTATTGCACGCCCCCGCACGATGAACGGTTCCCGACGTGAAAATTGGAGGATTTTCCATGGGATTTTCCCGTTTTCCAGACTTAATGGAGCCGATTCTCTTCTTTTTTTTTACGGAGTCGTTCGATTGACTGCGATCGCTGGATTTTTTTTTAATCGCGAAATCTGAGATGGTTGAGTTCGTATGGAATGACTCACTCGTGAAAATTTTCTTCCGTTGCATGCGTAACATCGTGAAATTGAAATTATTTTCTCTTGCAGTTGGTTTCTGGCAGGAGATCAGCCTGGTGGAGAAGGAGGAGGAGGAGAGGAGCGGAGGGAGGCGGCCCCCCATCTTTGAATGAGAGGGGAGAAAGGTCGGTGTTGCCCCCCCCAGAGGAATTGCCAATCCTGTATAGAGAGTTGCCAATAAGATTAATTGCAAACGTGACGTCACGAGCATTTCCTTGTGTAATGCGACGAAAAGCAGCCACCTGGCATGGCCACCTGGCACGGCGACGCATTTGGATTTTCCTGTCGCGTTGGACTTTCTTGACTCAAAATTTATCATATGAAAATAAAGGTCATTGATCAGTTTAATTAAATTTTGTATTACAATTACTTAAAATAGTTCAATTATTTGAAATAATTTAAAGCAACAATTTTCTCAGCGAGCACAGAAAAAAGGCGCGCCTGGCAACCCACAATAGTGTCACGTTCCCTTTCATCATCGAAAACTCCCGAAACCGGGTGAAACCCGGCCGGTTTCCGCAACTCTTGCCCGACCGGCCCCCCTTTTCCCCCCCGCTTTTCCCCCACCTT